CTGAGACATAGTTTTAAGATCTCACTAATATCCGATACGTCACAAAATACAATTTAGAAAAAAATATGTAATATGTCATGACATAGTTAATTAATTTTTTAAGTAAGAAAAAGACATGAAAAATGAAAGATATTTAGAACTGTGTAAAAGCTTAACAGGTCTGGAATCAGGTTGTCAGATCACAACGCCATAAAACGTTAAGTGGTTGCTCCGTTAATCCTATGACCACACAGTAAAAAACCTTGTACTTTTTTTTTCAAAATTTTAGTAAATGGACCTGATTTTTTACATACTAATTAACAAAAGATAAGAATTTAATGAGACATACGTCATTCTTCGAAGTACACAATAAAATTTCCATAAATCAATGGGAACGCGAACTTTTGTAATAACCCTTCCGTGATCGGAAGGTCCTGTGTTCGAATCACGGCCGCGACTGACCTAAGTCCATAAAAAAAAAAAAATAAAAAAAAAATAAATAAATAAATAGGAAGCGACTGTTCCTTCGCCAAGCGCTCAGCACTTTGAAGTGAAAGTCCGGTATTTTAACATTTTACACAATCAAAATTTTTTTTATAACATTTCAATTAAAAGAAATATTGAAAAAATTCCATTGTAACTCCTCTGTGTGGGGACAAGAAAATTTATTTGTGGTATGTTTCTTTAATTCTGAAAAATGTAGGACTCAAGTTTGCTCCAAGGAAAACTACAGTTGATGTTAATGAACCTACAAATAAAAAATGATATGTCATATAGTAAAGGCATAATTTAGAACAAAGGAGGGAAATGACCTGAATTTGTAGTCTCCAAGTCCTTTATCTGAAAAGTTTGTAATTATTTCAGATTGAGATTCTGTTATAACCAAGAATATTTATGGGCCATTTAGATTTATTCTTTTATCATTGATGAAAACGTTATGTCTACCCATGACTAATTAAAAAAAATTCCGAAAAATTCCTTCAAATTCTACACTATGGTAATTTTTTCTTTTCAAGCAAAATATGAGTAGTATCAGAAATCTTTTGGCATACAAAATGTATTTCTCATAACTGGTGCTAAATTCAAAAAAATTTCAGATTTTGGTCTACCAATTTAAAATCATTAAAGTCCGAATATCCTCGGTTATTTTCAAAATTCCACCAGTTTTTCATCAATAATTTAAAAAACTCCCACTGATAAGAACAACAAATAAATTATACACTTTTAAGACTTAAATTCTCTATTTTATTGATATAAAATGTATATGGGGTCAATGGTCATTTTTTTTCAGAATTTTCAATCTAAAAATTTTTCGTCATTTTTTCATATTGCCTATCAACTATATTTTTAATTTTATTTAAAATAAAATATGAAAAAATATTGATAATCTTTTAACGAAATAAGATTTTCAAATGCAACATTATAATAGAAATATAAAACTTTGGTAAATATATAACAAAAAAATCTTGGTTTTTTTAATTAAATTGAAAGGATTAAATCAGAATTTCCTCCGTCAATTAAAGTGCAATATTGAAACACAATGACAGTATAGATATAAATATTTAAATTTATTAATTATTATTGTGAAATAATATTCACTTCATTATCATAAATGTATTTATCTTATATTCTTATGAAGATTATGTTTATGTTCTGTTGATACTAGAGTGCGCTTTCATCCTAAGACACTAATTGGTAATGGACACTACTACCGTATACTAATTATCTACTACACGCTGAGAGGGTCAGAAATAGAAACTAATGTGTACTTCTAATTAATCGGACAATGTGCAAGAATGTGCTGACAACTCTACTGACCAGCATCTGGTGATGATATGATATCTCCTACGCATGTAGTGGGCTGGACATAGATCGCACATGATCCTCTCCGATATGGAAATGAGAATAATATGCTAATTAAAACTACCCTAAGAATGTTTTGGTGGGAGGAACAATGAAGATGAACTAAATGTGAAGATGGGATCTGATTCCTGTTTCCATATATGTGACACTCTTTCTGTATGTCCAGTATAAAACCTGGTGCGCGCTTGGTATCAGCAGCCTTTCAACATCCTGGCTCCGGAAGCCTTTTACCAATCTTGGCTCCGAGACCTTTGAATTGGTGAACGCTTGTTGTTTAGAGAGACTTTAAGTACCTTTTGACTTTGATCTAAACCATTGTTTGTTTGCTTATCATTTTGGATTGTAATAATAAAACAGTTATTTAAACTTTACCAGTCTTCTTAATCACGAGTAGTGTCACACGTGATTAATTGGTGCCTGCGACCAGGATTACGTAATCTTACGTAACACGAACGGGAAGTCACATCAACGCTTAAAAGGACAAAGAATATCAAAGACTACTGTAAGTAACTGTTTTGTTATATTTTGATAAGTTCATGATGGACAACCAAGACATGGGCAATGCTTTCGATCAAAGTAGTGCATTCACGAGTTTGTCGTCAATTCTTGAGAACAAATTTGATTAATTAGATTCATCAGTAAAGGGTTCAACGTTGGGTACTAATGGTATCTCTAATGTAATCATACCATATGAGGGGGATCCAACAAAATTCAAAGATTGGATAAAATCTGTTGAAAAGTATGCATTCATGAATCACTTGCAAGATAATAAAGTGGTTCCAGTCGTGGGGCGGTTTCTGATTTTATACAGGAAAAAATAACTAAAACCCAGGGGTGGGGTGGGGGGGGGGGGGGGGCTGTAATGCATTAAAGGGCGAAGTATCTTCCCGATTCGCCGAGGTGATGGATCCGCAACATATGTTTATATTGTTACGAAAAGTTGTCCAGAAACCAGAAGAAAATGTTCAAATTTATGCTGAACGTTTGCTTTCGTTGGCAGAAGATGCCTACAAAGGTCTTGATGGAGGACCGTCTGTAGAATGACAGCTTGTGGGATTCTTCATCGATGATCTATTCTCAGACAGACTAAAATTCAAGGTCATGCGAGAGAATCCTGCAAACTTGCAAACGGCCATAAATTCTGCCATGTCTGAGCAGAATTTATACAAAAGGTTCGAACTCAGGTCAGGTAGACAAGCCCATGTACCCATGATTATAGAACACGTCGCTCTAAACCAAAACCAACAAACAGAAAAAGTATTTATTCTGTAAATCAAAAAGTCTTAAAGACATAGAGTGTTGGAATTGTGGAAAGAAGGATCACCTAAAAAGAAATTGTAAAAAGTAAAATCAAAACGAACAGTTAAATGAATAAACTCCTTTCAAAATGAGACCGTTGGGAGTGGTAAACATTTGTGTGAATCAAAGAATAAAAAATCAAACATTCCAAGTTTCAAAATTAATATCGCGGGAAATCCAAATTCTTGCATTATTAAAATTAACAAGCAAAAATTCTGAGCACTTATCGATACAGGTGTCGAAGTTTCACTGATTCATTCAAAAGAATTTCGTTCTCTTCAAAACCTTCCACAATTATCAAAAGAGAGAGTCAATTTACAATCAGTAAATGGTGAAAGTTTAAACAACAAATGGAAAGCAAATGTCAGTTTTCAGGTGGGAGTCATGACTTTGTATCATTCATTTTATGTAATTGAAAATATGAATAGAAATGTCATATTGGGACGTGATCGATTGATCAAAAATGGTGTACGACTTTATTACGATTTAGGGTCATTCTGAATTAGAAAAAGATACACTCCATTTGAAGAAGATATTCATATATCAGCAGTGGTAAGAGCAGTGAAAAAGTCAATAATCAAACCACAAACGGCGCATGTTTTTTTGGGAAAACTAAAATCCAATTTTGTTGTTGAAGATGGTTTAGTTGAAATTTCATCAATCGAAAATGGTTTTGTAGGAAGCGATCCAGGAGTCATGATAGGTAACTCTATAAAGTTAAAAATAACAACAGAGTACCGATTCTTGTTGTAAACAACACCAATAAAACAATAAAAATTAAACGAGGATGTCCACTTGGTCGAGCAGATAATGTAAACAAAATATCGGTGGCCTCGGTAAATGAAATTCAAACAACAAATGAAACTGGCGGTAAAATAAATAACGATCAAATTGACGTTCCAAACGTTCACACAGATAAAATTTCAAAATTATTTTTTTGCTAATGAAGATCTTTTTGCTGAAGGCGAATCTCATTTAGGTCAGACGGACACGGTGGAAATGCAAATTGACACGGGAAATCATCAACCAATAAAATTGAGACCATACAGAGTTCCTCTAAACAAGCGCAGAATTGTTGATAAAGCAGTAAATGAAATGTTAGAAGAAAATGTAATTCGAAGATCTAAATCACCATGGAATTTTTCAATAGTTGTTGTTGATAAAAAGATGGGTATAAAAGGTTTTGTGTTGACTTCAGACAGTTGAATAAAATAACAAATATCAATTCATATTCTTTGCCATTAATTGATGATATTTTGGCTACTTTAGGAAAAGCAAGATACTTTTCAAGTTTAGATTGTGAAAGAGACTTTGAAAGAACTAAACATCTCACACGTTACTACATCTTACTACCATCCACAGAGTAACGCAAAAGTAGAAAGATTCCATCGTACAATGCATGATGTTTTGTCAAAAAAGTTAAGTTGGGTGAAGATCTCCATAGAATTGCATGGGAAGAACAGCACAAAACGTTTACACGCGTGCATAGAATTATGAAAAATTCAAAACAAAAAGAAATGAAATATGCCAATAAAAACGCAGTAAACGAAGACATAAAATAGGAGACCCTGTCTATTATAAAAACAACTAAAAACAAAGTAAATTACAAAGTAATTGGAAACCCTTGTACCGTGTAATTGAACAAACATCGCCTGTGACATTCAAAATTAAAAACTAATTGGATGGTAGGATCATGAAAACTCACAAAGAATTGTTTAGGCTCGCTAAAATAGAATGGGACATACCAAAGGATGAAGACGCTAAGCCCATAAGAAAAGCTGCCTATGGAGTACCTCATGAGAGTGAAACAGATGAAGAGGTTAAGGTTAATGAAAACAATCCTATTCAGGAATTAAATGATGAATCTGAGGAAGGAGAGAGACTCCGAGGATGACACACCGCTGGCTAAGCTTGCTAGTAAATATAGTAAAGAACGATATGATTGGTCTTCAGAAGACGACGTACCCTTATGGGAGTTGTCAAAACGAATGCAACGAAAACAACAGACTGTTGAGGGCTCAGAAAATTCAGATATTGAGAGTGACCACAAAATAAACGATGAATTAACACATTTTGATGAAATGGGTGTAAATGCATGTAATAAAACAAAACCTAAAACGATCAAAGTTTTATCAAATAAGAAAAATAAGAAAAACGAAAAATCTTAAACTGCTTATTGATGATACCTGTCATTCAATTTCTTTAGATTCAAAGTTTGAATCAAGTGGTCACTGCTCATTTAACAGCATTCTATGATAAAGGTTATTTTAAAAAGTAATCTTTCCTTGTAATGACAAGCACTCTAGTGCTACAGTAAGTAGCGGGTCCGGGTACGACATCTCAGAATAAGTTTTCTGAACTAGAGTTGATATAGAAAGAGAAGAAAACTATGTAATGGTGTAAAATACAAATGTGTACATGGATAAATGGTATTAATGATACAATATTATTATGTGCAGATGAAATCCTATCGCGGTTCGGAATTCGGTGAAATTTTAACTTATCAAATTTATTTGTCATTGTCCGTTTCTGAAATTAAAACAGTGGGTAGAATAATAATTTGCAAGTTACATAAATGATTGAGAACTCTCAAAAGGAACAACCAAACCCATTTTAACTAAAAGGTACAGTTGTCATGCTCTGCTTATATTGACTATTTTTTTCCCTTCATATCTCCGACGTAAAGGTAATTGAAATATAAAATTAAATTTTTATCAAAATTTCTACATAGTTATAATTTGAAATCAATTAAATTATAGAGACCTTTTCATTCCACATTTCCAAATCTTACTCTTAAAAATTTAACACATAAATTAAAAGATATAAAAACTATCACCATGAACATTGATTGATTGATTGTATTTTGTTTAACGTCCCTCTCGAGAATTTTTCACTCATATGGAGACGCCACCACTTGCCGGTGGAGAGCTGCAAATTTTGTCCTATGTTCGGCACTTACGGCCATTGAGCAGTGATGGATCTTATTCGTGCCAGCACCTACTGCGACACGGGACCTCGGTTTATACGGTCTCATTCGAAGGACCAGTCTCCACGTCCCGCAGTGGGATTCGAACCCGCGACGTAAGGATCAATTCCTTACTTCGCGACTCTAGAGGAGATGCTCTAACCACTGCGCCACGCGGGCGACTCACAATGAACAAATTGATTCAAGAAATTAAAAGTATTGAAAATGTCCCCATGCTTGAAAGTGGTTGGCCGACATGGGTATTCGTCATAATTGGATTTATAAGTTCGTTAATTTTGGGGATAATAATATTTGTATATTGTAAATTTGGAAACAAGTGTAAGAATAGGTCAAGGTCAAACATGTGTCGGTTGTCCAGAAAGAATAGATCAAAAGTATGATATCTCAGCCAATAAAACAGAGTCTAGAATGTCAGCGTTTCTGGAGGGCAATGATGTAGACAACAGTAAAGTTCCTTCAGCACCTATGATGGCATTCAATCTCCAACTGCTGAGAAAATCCAGAATTTGGCTGTACTAGTGGTAACTGTGCCTTACGTTGTAACTCCACAATACACAAAAACAAAGGAAAAAAAGACCACAGAAATCGATAAACAACAACAAAAGACTAACACCATGTATCCAAGTCTCGGTCTCACATCAAGTACTGATTAAATGTGAAAGGCTTTTAAGAACAATATTGCTGAATGTTGCAATATCATTCGAGTGAAAACTGAAAGCTATACGATCACGATATGAATAAGATTAAAAACACTATACGATCACAATAACAATGAGGAAAAACGATGATGTTAACGTTTTTTGAATTACAGAAATGATACGATTATTGGATGTCGCCATTATTAAGGGACATTATTGTTATCATTTAACATTTTTTTAATTGGATGTTACCGATCACAAGGAACATTCTTGATATAATTGATGATGTTGGTTTATTATTATTCGAATATATATGCGTGTGGATTCCATTGGATTTCCTTTTACTAGATAATACATTTATGGAGTGTGAAATCATTGTGTTATATAGTGTTTGGACTTTATGAAAACATTAGACAGTGTTTCGTCTAGTTTGGGGAGGAATTTAACACAATGACAGTATAAATTTAAATATTAAATTTATTAATTATTATTGTGAAATGACATTCACTTTATTTTCATAAATGTAACGTTATGTATCTTATTTTCTTTTGAAGATTATGTTTATAAGCTGTTGATACTATAGTGCGCTTTCATCCTAAGACACTAATTGGTAATGGACACTACTACCGTATACTAATTATCTATTACACGCTGAGAGGGTCAGAAATAGAAACTAATGTGTACTTCTAATTAATCGGACAATGTGCAAGAATGTGCTGACCACTCTACTGACCAGCATCTGGTGATGATATGATATCTCCTACGCATCTAGTGGGCTGGACATAGATCACACATGATCCTCTCCGATATGGAAATGAGAATAATATGCTAATTAAAACTACCCTAAGACTGTTTTGGTGGGAGGAACAATGAAGATGAACTAAATATTAAGATGGGATCTGATTCCTGTTTCCATATATGTGACACTCTTTCTGTATGTCCAGTATAAAACCTGGTGCACGCTTGGTATCAGCAGCCTTTCAACATCCTGGCTCCGGACGCCTTTTACCATCCTTGGCTCCGAGACCTTTGAATTGGTGAACGCTTGTTGTTTAGAGAGACTTTAAGTACCTTTTGACTTTGATCTAAACCTTTGTTTGTTTGCTTACCATTTTGGATTGTAATAATAAAACAGTTATTAAAACTTTACCAGTCTTCTTAATCACGAGTAGTGTCACAATATTTTGTACAACAATATTGTGATACGTCTTTTATGTCGAGTTTAAAATGTAACAAAATATTTATACATGTGCATTATTTCAAAAATACTAGTACTACACTTCTTGCAATGTTATATTTAAAAAAAATGTTATGCTCATTACATTAATATGAATTGAATTTAATTTTGTGTCTTTATACCTTCTTTTTGTGACCATTTTAATTACATAAGAATATGAGAATATGAATGGAATAAAAAAACTTTTTGAACATGTTTATCACCTAATCACATCTTACAAGATTATGGATTAAAAAGTGTAATATATATATATATAAAAAAACAGACTATAACTTATAAATTCCATGCAGATTTACTTAATAAATAATGGGCTTTGTACAATTATCATTATCAATCCAATATCTGTTTGGAAGATACTACTTGTACATACTACATAAGATTACATTTGTCAAGTCTCAGTCACTAATTACATGTAGATATAAAATATAATTGTGAGATGAATACTGGTAGTCTGTTCGACTTTGACACCCTCACAGAACTGTTGCTACACACTTCAGTAAACAATGCAGGGATACCATTCTGATCTCTATAGTCAGTTAGTTTCAAACTATCAAAATCCAACCCACTTTCAGCTATTCGTACAGCCAAAATCAACACCTTTTTTTCTGAGCAAGAATCTGTAAGGAAGGAAAATTTTTGTCAACTTCCTTTTGATAAGATAGTACATTCATTGCATTATCAAGTGAGAATGTGGCATACTTATGCTATTCATCTGATAAATTCACTAATTCTAACAACTTTTACAACACTAAAATATCATCAAGGGCATTATGTGCTTCATATGAACATGCAAGAAGACTTTCTACAAGATTTTGTTGGCTATAAGAGCTTAGGTTTGGATGGAATATTCAAAATGAAACTTTCGTATCCAAAAATCCCTTCACCTTTCTTAAAAATCTTGATAACATAGAACATGTAGAATATGTAAAAAATCTATCCTCATTGCGTACAGCTTCCAACTGAACGATAAGTGCGAGCTAAAAAAGAAATATCACCATTTAGAGTACTGGTATACAAATGAACAAGCAAATCAAATATTCTCACAAGGCCATCGGTCATATATTATCATTGGAGTATGGATTTATACAGAAATAAATTCCACCATATGGCATGCATAAAGAAAGAGGGTGTTGACATTAAAACGTCTGCAATGAGTAGTTGCTAAGAAAACTGAGATAAAAATTTGTAACAGACAGACACACACACACAGATACTGACAGACACACAGGGGTAAAACTGTATACACCTTTTTCTACAGGGATAAAAATATGGTTCTTTTTAATAAACTGAATTTGATAAAATTTCTATATCAACTTCTTGCACAAAATATTACCTACTCCTGTTGTTTCTAAATCAAATAAGATAAAAGTATGATTTTCGACAATAACCGTTTCCATCTGTGGTCTTGCGCGTGGGACTGGAATTTCTATAATGAAGTTAGCTTGTTGAAAAGCTAACCCTATTCCAGATTCATACGTGGATCCTTCATGAATTTCTTTGCTAGTTGTACACAAGGATATTTATGAATGAAAGAAAAAATGCAAAGTCTAATATAAATTCATGTATTTCAAAAACAACTGATAAATAATCATTTAAGTGAACATATTTTACATTACCTCCTAGCCCTCAGCTCAGGTTTTCTTCACTTGGCCTACTCCATTTTGGCAATCGTATTTCTCTTTCTAGACTGGGGGTCCCTGAGGTAGCACAACTTTCTAGTAAACCTTCTAGGAGATAATCCTATCTTTCTGTTTACCTATTACAACAAAAATAACTTTAGGAGGGAGTGTTGCTGCTTGATGCAAAAACTGTATGATCTGCTTGCAATAATAATTTAATTAAAAATATTGCTCATGAAATATAACACGTGTATATATATATATATATATATATATATATATATATATATATATATATATATATATATATATATATATATATATATATATATATATATATATATATATATATATATATATATATATAGGTCGAGAGTTCAACCCGGGGTCGGGGCGGAAGTGGGTATCCAAATAAAAGTAAATTTTTCTTTGCTTTCTATATTAATATTTTTCACTTAGTGCAGTTATGTTAGTTTAAGAGTTGTTGTAAAAAGTGCTTTATAAATAAAAATTAATTCACTACAATATGTATCGGTAACGATCCTCTAATAAAACTAATGTCAAATTACTGTATCTCACTTCCATTCTCAATGCCCGCAGGACAGCGATGCGAGAAT